ATTTTACTTTTAGTCTTGTACTGTTCTTAATCTCACCGATTCAACATAATATGATCGTTATTGATTTTTTAGTTTAATTCACGATCTAAGAAACGGCTGTGCTTCATCTAGAGCAAAATTAAAATTGAAATCTCCACTTCAGATAATAGGTAATAATAGGTAATGGGTAACTGCAATCTGAAGGTAGATTTCAAGTAAAGTTTTAATTTAAAGAATCGCCAAAAAAATATAATTTGAAAATAATGAAGGAAAATGGCTAAAATTTAAAGAACAATTTATTTTTTCAGAAATGCGCAAATTTCGATTTTGCGATTTAAAAAGCAATGCGCAAATTATGCACAATTTGCAATAAAGCGCCCAATCTGGCATCACTGCCCGGATAATAAAGGTCACGGCTCGGCGAGCATCGTAGCAAGTCGCATGAAATGATTTTGCCCTGTCGTGCGTAAAGGAGTTTCACTTTAAAAAGAATATGTAATTTATATATTTATTTAGTATAATAATAATAGGGTCTCCATAAAAAATAAGTTTCAACTTTAGAATATATGCCAAAAAACTTATACTTTACTATGTTTTATTACACTAGATACTTTATTGATAAGAGAATATTTTAAATAGGTAGTTATCAACAATCATTTTCTCATTATTTAATTTTAATTATCTTAAATACTGTAAAATAGACATGCGATTGTCTTATCTATATAAATTAGACAAAAACATTAGTTCTAAGATTACTAACACAAGGAGAGTGCGGAAGAACAGAGTCCAAACTTTTTTTGTAAATAGTAGCATAATACCTTTTGCCTTAAATCTAAATCTTATATTAATTTGTATGTATGTTTCATTGGTAATAAACTATTATTATTATTAAAATACATGTAATTTTTTAAACTAGCTTTAAAATCCCCAAAATTTTAAAACATTGCTACTTATTTAGTAAAGTTTTAAACAGAGATACCCAATGCTAATGTAGATATTCCTCGAAAAAGTTCTATCTAAATTGCAATGAAATCCACGAAGGTACATAAAAAAGTATAAAGTAAATAATTTATACTTTAGGTTTAATATCAATGTCTTCATAAAAAATAAGTTCTTACTTTAGTTATGCAAAAAAAACTTGTATCTATTTTTAAATGTGTTTGAAACTTCGACAACCTAGGTCTTAGGTTTTCCACATTCGTCTATTAATTATTTTTTTATTGGGGATATTTACTTTATTCTAGTTTATTGACAGAAAAACCTTATCAATCAAGACCTTTCTTCATTTAAACTAAATCAGACGAAATATAAAAATAGTATTGTTAAAATACGTGTATTTATTTAATATTTAAATTGGCCTTATTTTCGACCAAATATAATTGGCCCCATATAATTTGCATGATAAAATTTTTAACTATATCATAACAACATCCTATAATAAATATTTAAATATATACATAAAAATATTTTATTCTGTATCTAAAATATTTCGTAAATTACATGAAAATTTAAAACAGAATTAAAAATTATTATTTGGATATAAATAAAATATTTAATAAAGGCATAACTCTGAAAAATATATGCATAAAACAAGACTAAAAGTGCAAGTCATATATTAATTTTGTGAGTCAAGTTATTTAAAAACAATTTTCTGTGTAAAATTAAAAGCAAACACAATGTGTACATTACTTATTAGCTGGGAGTTAATAATTACGAATCAGCTTTAAATTACAATAATTACACACAATTATATTTTTTTATATTTTCGTGACACGCATTATAGCCGAGAATAGTGTCAAATTACGATTTTAATTTCTGTGTTTATCCTTTATGATCAATATTTCCTGGAAAATACTTTTTAACGGTAATTCGTCATTATATTTTTGATGTGTTGTCAATTATATTATGTTTGTTACATATTTATTTTACTAAAAATAATTGTTTGCATAGTAATAAAAATAGGTATGAAACCCATCCACTCGAAAAGATAACAAATAAATTTAAATGATTTTGCACAAGAGTGTGCCCAATAGAGTATACTAATTGTGATAAAAATAAAGTAAATATCATTTGCGATACACAGTGAAAAATTAACAGAATTACAGTTTTTAATAATATTTTCTTTTTACAATTGAAGAAGTTTTTTGTCTATATATAAACATTGAAACAAGTATCCAGATGTTTGTATATAATATATATTATATAAACATATTATGTTTGCATTAATCGACTTGCAGAACTCGTAAAACACATAAAAAAATAAGTATGCATTACTTACCTATGCTTAACACCCAAAAGTCCCACCCCGTGACTTTGATATATCTCTGGTGAAATATCCATACGATATTTTAATTTTTGCTTTTACATGCGTTTACTAAATCATTAATTTTTTTCCGGAACTTCGCAAAAAATCTATAAAATTTATATGGTATAAAACCTTGAACTTACCTGCATCTGCCCACTCATAGTGTATGTCAAAAAGTTAATCCACCTTTAACTGTATTGTCTTAAACTTAAGCAATTTGTTTGAACAAATAAAAGTATTAAATTTACCGACATTTGTCAAACCCGCGTGTGTGGACATAAAAACTTACAGACATATTTCTGGTGTTTTTGAAAGCTTAATTGCCTACTTGACCGTTTTTAGCATAAGAAAACTTCTTGCCTACAGTGCGTCGCTTTAAAACTTTAAATAAAATCAAATGATCTTTAAGACAGCCTTAGGACCATCATAAAGCAGCTTTCAGACAAAAAGGGCTTATCCTAAAAGGGTCTTTAAGACTAAATTTTAAAAATATATTAAAAATATTTACTTTTAATTTTATACTCTTAAAAAGTTCTTTAAGGCAACTTTAAACTTATGTTTTAAAATATACGTGCATCAGACTAAATTACCTTATGAATAAATACAATCAATATAATCATTCCTAAATGGGTTTTATTTTGTATTTTGCAAAGTGGGACAACTTTTGTGTGAAGTAGTAAATGGCAGAATTGTAATATTTTAAACATAAGGCCATATATAAAGCAAATCATAAAACATATTCAAATGCAAACTATTGTGGTCAAAAATTCAACGGGTGGCACTTTTCTGACAAACTATAATAAAATACTTTTACATAACTCGAGCGCCATCAATTTAATGTTTTTTTTATTATTTAAAAAATATCGTATTTTGCATTTAAACATGTTTGGACACACCGTTCTTCAGTTATTTAAGAGGATGTAAGGCGCATATTTTTCAATAATATGATTTTTTCTTTGGCGGTTGAAAATGTCCATCATGGCGGAGTCTGTATCTTATATAAAACATGGCGCAATCTAGATTAAAACAGATTGCAAGTTTATAGAACATTTTAAATCTCACAAGACTTAAAACAGCATTCAATACCACTTTTAGTACAATTACTCTCGCAAACGTCTATTTACTCTTTATTTTAAAATATTTTCCTTTTTAAAGATGTGTTCTATTTTTTACGGATAAAGTGGTTATACGAACTGCGCTGGTTTACTAAATTAGATTATTGAGAAGATGCATTTATCCTAATGTAGAGTTAGTTTTAATAAAGTGGTCAAAATTCAAACACACATTCTTTTAACAAAGTTGACTAAATATAAACCTTTGTCTTTTAAAATATTCTTAAAGTACTCCATAAAACATAAAAATTTCGTTTTGGATTTAAAGTGGAATTTTATTAAGATAAAATAGTTTTCTTAATGGGTTTTATTGAGTACATCAAGGGTATTCCATTAAACTACATTAAAACTTTTTGTTTCAAATTGGATTGTTTTAACCTGCTATTTAATCCTTTAAAAAAGCAAATTACTTTTAAAATAACCAGTATAAAATCAATATTGTTTTTTTAATTTTAATTTAAATAGTACGGTAAGGTAACTTTAAAACCAATTTCGTTTTATTGAATATATTTAATCACTTTTAAACTTTAATAAATCAAAAGTATATATCAAATGTAAGAAACAGTTGTGTTTTGAGATTTAAAAAAAATACCAACAAGCTGATCTTTATAGTCTCATTTTACTCTTATTTTTTACCAAACCAAAGTTTGATTTGTTTTGTTGTGTCTATTAGATAAATTTGAAAATGTAACACTGTAAGAAAAATTGTTGGTAATTTTTTCATACACGTATTGTAAGTACTTAATTTTTCGGTTACTTTTGAAAAGCGATCAATTTCCAAATAAAAAATAAAAAAATTATCTGAGATCTACCATGTCACGGCTCACAAAATGAAAATAATAGCAATTGAAAATGATATCTATACAAATGTAGATCACTCACAACTTATTGACGAGTACGCAACAATAAAAGCTTGAAAAATATTTTTGTAGTAAAACCCAATTTTAGGTATTTTTTCGTACTCCAACCTGTACCTAGTAGGTACTACCTACCTTGGTTTATACTTAGATAAAATCCACATGTGCATGTTTTGTTGTAAATGTGTTTTTTTTATTGTTAAACTTATATTATTATTATTATAACGATTATTTTAACGATGTTACTTGTTAAATATTATTGAGTATTTAATAAAATATTTTTGATTGACGGCAGAGGGGCTAAGGACGACCCTGTCCTCAATGTAAATTTGTTGTTATCATTTATGTTATAATTTGTTAAAGGTGAAGTGTTTTGTTTGCTTTATTACTATTTCCTGTAATGCAGTGGTTCTTAAAATGTACGCGCACACTGCGTTAAATATTTATTACCTCTTAAAAACATTAAGTTAAAAAAGTTAAAGTACATCTGCTTTAATTTAATCTCCTTTTTATAAATTATATTAATTTAAATTAAATTATAAAGGTTAACTCATTTAAGATAACAATATTTAGATAGATAATATTTTTAAATACATGTGGTTTGCTGGTTTCAATCATATTATTTTACATACATGCAGAAATAAGACGCGGTAAAACATATAGAGTGTCCGGTTGCATATAAATTGTTTAATTAATTTAAAATACTAGTACAGTGCACGTACATAGTTTTTGTTTAGTGATTATAAAATGACTTGCAGAGATTTAAAAAGTTTAAATCCTACAGAAAGAAAATCTTTTTTGGATTCTTTTGATGAAGTTTTATGTGACTGTGATGGTAAGTGTATTACACTCTGGGTCTAAAATAGTATAGGTATTTCATTAGAAATTTGTAAATATATTTTATAGTTAAACCCAGTTAAAAACAAAGAAATATTAAGTATATTTAAAAGTTTGATTAATTGTCAATTTTAAAAATAGGTTGGAAAAGAAACTAAAAATCAAAAAGAAATAGCAACATTATTTCCTATATATCTTTCACATATTAATTATGCAAAACAATGCAGGTAATTCTAAATTATGTTTTAATGTCAATATTAATACGTATACGTATACGAGGTGTGTTCAGAAAATATAGGAAATTTTCGTTTTTTGAAACAAATATTTATTTATTCGTCTACATTAATGTTGTCGCCTTCAAAATAGTCCCCATTGGATATTATGCACATGTGCCAGCTCTTCTTCCAATACTCGAAACACTTCTAAAACTCGATCTTTGGGATAGCCTTTAGTTCTTTTAGCGATGCGCTTTTAATGTCATCTATGCTTGCAAAACGACGGCCCTTTAAGGTTCTCTTTATTTTTAGGAATAGGAAAAAGTCAGACAGAGGCATGTCTGGCGAATATTGAGGCTGGGGCATCATTAGAGTATTGTTTTTGGCCAAAAATGTTGTTTAAAATTTAACAATTTTGTAACAAATTTTGCTGCCACGCGTTTCATATCCAAAACATTTAAAAAAATTTCATGGGATGAGCCAATCGATATACCAACATCATCAGCGACTTCTCTGATGGTTTATAACTATTTCTTCCACTTTTTCCATGTTTTATCGGTTGTTAATGTGCTTGTGCGTTCGGGGCGTTCGTCATCTTCAACGTCTTCACGGCCATCTTGGAAACTCTTATACCACTCGTAAACTCTTGTTTTACTTATAGCAGACTCACTTCAGGCCTTTTTTAACATTTCACAGAATTTATTTCATTTTTTAAGCAAAATTGGATACAAATTCTTTGATCTATTTCTTTCTTTCGAACGAAAATCGCCGAGCTCATAAAAAACGTCTAACCTTAGCGGCTGCCACAGACAAAATAAACAATGAAAACAGCTAAAGTTTTTATCATACTTCGGAGGCATGTAAACCAACATAATAAAGAAAATTTTATGACAACCAGACCCTTCGAACCCGCGAAATTTAACAATTCCTGTTATTTTCTGAACACACCACGTAGGTACATTAATTTTTAGCCCCCCAGCAAACATTCAATCGTCGGCCGATGATTGGATAAATGTTGGCAAATGATTTAGCCGATATATCGGTATCGGTAATACATCAAACCTACATTGTTTTTTATTACTAGTTTTCCAGAATTACACCGATTTTCGGAACAATGTCTAAAAATAATATTCAGGAAGCTTGCGTTGGCAAAACGTTAAGACGATATCGTGTTTGTTTTTCAGATGTAAAAAGTTTGAAATAATTTTTATTTAAATGTTTAATTTAATGTAAAAAAAAAACCAATGTCGAAAAATAATTATCGGAAAGCTAACAGTAAAATATTAATGTTATTTACTGAATAGGTTAAATTGACAATATTAAACATAATTGCTACAAAAAATTCAAAAAATTAGATTTATCATAATTAGGAGATCCCGATACCGATGTTTTCTATTGATTAAGGTTCAACCTCTCTTTTCAACGCGACGAACCGACGTAGAAATTTGACGTTACCCCGAGAAATTTTAATACCAAATTTTAATACCAATTGACCAAACGGCAAGATAGGTCGGGCAATTATCATCGCATGATCATCTCCCATGTTTCCTATTGATTAAGGTTCGACTTAAATTTAACGTTATCCAAAAAAAAACAGTTTAAGTCTGGTCGGCCAAACGTCAGGCAATCATAATTGCATGATCAACGCCGATCTTTCCATCATACAGGCGACGTAAAATCGTAAAAACATCTGCATGCGGCCATAAGCCGACCAACGTACCAATGTTTTGTCAAGCTATGGCCATAACTTGACAATTAAGCATTTGCGTTGTCCGATTCATATGATGTGCCCCAACTTTAAATTTAAAAAGTCTGTTTACGGGAGATTTGGATAAAATATATGTCGTTGAGTATGACTTTTGAAGTAAATAAATAAACAATGTTACCATTCCATTAAAAAAATAAATTAAATTAATAAATTAATAGAGAAGAGCATCCTGTTTCAAAAAATTTATTTCTATTTTTAGACAAAATATTATATTTGAAATAAACTATTACATTAATATTATATTATATTATATTATATTATATTTTTACTATACTATTAGAGTTTAAACATATAATTTTTTTGCTGTAAACGCAAAAGGAAACTTCTTTAGTTGTATGTGGTACGACTCAATTTTTGTTAATGCGTTAACTTAACTTTGCTCCGCTCAAGGATGTATAAAAACGAGTAAATAATTTTGAAAATTTTTTCTCGATATTTCGTTGCGCTTGTCATGAAAAATAATGCACATATCTTGTAGAGAAAGGCGGAGATTTTAAAGAGTTTGTTGATACTTCACACTCTTCAGAAATCGCGGCCTTTCGCCACTCTATATGTTTTTTTTTACTTAAACCATACATTTTAGGAGTATTGTGGTTGATGAAAGAACCCATACTAGGCTCCCCCAAAGCAGTACAAAAATTAAGATCACTAGGCAAAAAAATCAGATTTGTTTCAAACAACTGTATCTACACATACGATCAGTTTTACATGCTCTTGGAGAAATTAGGTTATGGAAATGAAAAAGATAGTCTTGTCATACCAACAATGGCTATAATTAACCACCTTAAAAACATAAAGTTTGATAGAGAGATTTTTTTATTGGGATCGGCAGGTCTTAGGACTGAATTAGAAAATGAAGGATATAAAATGGCGCCAAAAGGAGTACATTTTTAATTTTTAATTTACTTTTATTCATGTTCTAAAGATTTTTATTTTAGCCTGGATTAACTGAAATAAAATTACCGGAGATAATAGAAACACTTAAGGATAATCCTAATGTTGGAGCTGTCATTGTAGAACTTGATGTAAATCTTAATTACATTAATCTTATGTTAGCTTCCATTTATTTAAAACGAAAGGATGTTATACTTTTAAATGGAGGAAGTGACAAGATTTGTCCTTTTAGCAAGGATCTTAATTTTATAGGTATATAATTTATAGTTCTTACAGAAATATATATTAGGGTGAGCCAAAAAAACTAACCTATCGGATTTATGGGTTACAATGAACCTACATACCGAGCAAAAAATTTCCCTGCAAGGCAAAATTTTTTGCTCAATTTTAAAAGGTGTCGGTGAGCATTCTAAGTTTTCCATTAAAATAACACGTAAAAAAATCTTTTTTCATTAAAAAGACTATAACTTTTGAACCGTTTGAGATAAAATTTTTTACATAGAGCATAAAATTTCCCAAAGAATCTATACCAGGATTATTTTTTTAAATTCAAAAATTCGTATGTTTGAAAGCTTTGAAAAGTGTAAAAAATCACTAAAACTGCAGCCTATAACATTTTTTTATTAGGTTTACGAATATGAGGTTGGAATTTTTGGAATCTTAAAACATTGTTTAAAAGATTCCATGTCAATTCTTTAACATTCTTCAATAAATCACCTGAGAAAACCCAGAGCAAATTGGGCTTACTTGAAAGGTTAATATTTTTTTTATTTTAAATGTAACAACCAATATGTTTTAACCTAATCAAATAGTAAATTAAAAAACCTTTCGATTGATGTTACTATTCCCCATACCTAAAGTTAATAATTTTAGAGATATTTAACAATTTCTACAATTTTAAATATTATTTTTTATTAAGAAACCTGTGAGACGGGGGAGTTGACGGTATCTATGGTTACCACGTAATCTGTCTAGTTTAAAATTTAAAGTGAGCTCCGTTGCTGCTGTTCGTTGTTTATATATAAACAGTGTGTATAAACAATGTTTCTTTTTTCATTATAATTCTTGGAGGTAGAAGTTACCATTGATAATAAACATAAGAAAGAGGACTTGGCAATCAGGCCCGTATTCCAAACATGTTAGTACGTTTAATACTTTAGGACTGACATTTTGTATTTATAAAAATTACGAAAACTGTATATTTTTTGAGAAAAAAATCATAACAAATACTCGACCAAATCATTTTTTTTAACAGTTTCTTTTCAATATGTATCTGTCTATACATTTATTCCATCGATTTTTATCAATTTATAATCAGTAAATGGTTTTAAAATGAGAAAAATAATGTTTTTTTGTGATGCTTGGATCAACAATTTAAATCTAAAATATCTCGAAAACAAGAGCTAACCCAAAAAAGCGACTAGTACCATTGGATTTAGCGTATTCCAATTAGGTAATAACCTGGGTGCCATGCTTGTTAGAAAAAAAGTTTCCGATTTGAGCACAGTGTAATTAATAACATTCATTTTTTCCGCTGTGAACAATCTTATTCCTTCCCCTGTATATATTTTGATTTCCTTCCGCTAATCAGGTAAGAAATTAGCACCATTCGACAAAAAAGTATAGTGTTTATTATTTTTAATATACCAGTTTAACCAAAAACAATCTAAAACTACCTAGATCATAGCCTTAAAACGGTTGTCGATTTTATCTTCTTTTAATACAATACGCAGTATAATGTGCTAAGGTACAAACGCGATATACTTCTCTAAATATGCGGTATAATAATTAAACGCTGAAATGTGTAATCTGGCAACACTGCTTACTATTAATTTCGTAATATTTTAGGTCCACATTACTTCCAAGTCCTTCTTGAAGAATTTTCTGGGACTAAGGCTCTACATTTTGCTAAACCAAAAGAACTACTAGCCAAATATGCGTGTGATAAATATAAAATTAAGGATCCTAAAAGGGTTTTATTTGTTGGTGATACATTGGAACAAGATATGAAGTTTGCTAGTGTAAACGGTTTTCAAAAACTATTAGTATTTTCTGGAGCTGTCTCCAAAGAAGAATTAGAAAAAAATAAGTGTGTAGACTTGAACCCAGATTATTGTTTGGACACTTTCGGTTCTATTGTGGATATAGTTAATAGCACTCAATAATTGTTTGTTATTATATTTATAATTAAATTATAAATTAATCTGTTTATTTGGTTTTAATTAAATACCTGAAATAAACCAAATATAAACGACAATAGCAATAATTTAAATTAAGGATTCTAAAAGGGTTTTATTTGTTGGTGATACATTGGAACAAGATATGAAGTTTGCTAGTGTAAACGGTTTTCAAAAACTATTAGTATTTTCTGGAGCTGTCTCCAAAGAAGAATTTAAAAAAATAAGTGTGTAGACTTGAACCCAGATTATTGTTTGGATACTTTCGGATCTATTGTGGATATAGTTAATAGCACTCAATAATTGTTTGTTATTATTTATAATTAAATTATAAATCAATCTGTTTATTTGGTTTTAATTTAATACCTGGAATAAACCAATTATAAAGGACAATAGCAATAATTTAGATACACTGAAACGTTTAGAGAAATTAACTTTCAAACAAATTTAATAGAAAGGCCGCAGATCTACCCTTTTAGACCCCAGCTATCATCAAACTTCTAATACATTGATTAAAGTTACGTTAAACAAACCAAACCATAAATTGAAATTCCGTTTGAAATTTAATTTGACGAATAAATTAGTTTACATTAAAATGCTATATTTTATTGTATAAATTAAATTGCGAGAGAAAAAGTATACACACAATTAACTTAAATGTTCCCCCATGGCCTGGCAACCAAAGAAAAACCGCAAATATGTTTATACTACTTAAAGCATTACGTTGTGGTGAATATATTTTCCGCTGCATCCAAGGATTATGTTTTTAAACGTAAATGTACTTTTTTCGGGTTATTTATGTCGACAGGATTTTTGTTATATTGAAATGTTTTATTTTTAGGGACTATTTTTGTTTAAACCGACCAATAAAATATTCGGGCTTAACATTATGCTTTTATTTTGGATACTTTTTATAAAATTCACCAGTGTAATAACTAGGCACGAGCAAAGCTTACCAGCGAGTGTTTAATAAATAAGTATCTAAACAAGTTTATAAAACGAGCTGCATACCATAGTTTTCCTACGAGGAACACAAAAACTAAATAATGTTCAAAAATAAATAAAATCTGACATCTGTCAGACTTTTTGAACCTTACTTTCCCGTAAATTTATTCGATTGTATGACATTTGATAAGTGCTACTTACTTCAGCCTTTGATTAAAAAGCCCAAAAGCCATAATTTCGAACTTCAACCAGTGACTAAAACGCCATAAAGTCACAGCTTGTATTAAAAAAATCGCTTAGCCTCATGAAAACATATACCATAATGTAGAATAATGTATTTAATAAAAAACAAATATAAAACAGACTGCAAACACATAAAAAGTAATGTCTTGATTTTATTATATTTGACTTGGCTTAAATAAATCCTTTAAGTTGATATATCATATTTATTTGGTGTAAGTTGTCTTACATTTAGTTGACCTTTTAAAACTTATACTTAGTAAAAACAAGCAAATATTTAGTTGACCTTCAGAATTCCAGCAAGAGGAGCGAAGTTAAATGCAAATCATCGTAGAGCAAGACTGCGATTTGCCAGACAACATGTTGGCTGGAATATTGAGGATTGGCAGGGTGTACTATTTACAGACGAGTTCAGGTTTTGTTTATTTAGCTCTGATCGGCAAGTAAGGGTTCTCCGACGTCCAAATGAGAGATTTTCACAGTGTAACATTCGTGAAACCACGCTATTAATTGGAGGTTCTGTAATGGTTTGGGGAGGAATTTTCTTGACAGCTTGCATAGAACTCGTCATTGTTCGTGGAGGTACTATATATCGAGGACATTTTATCCGAGCATATATTGTCCCTTTCGCCCCGTACATCGGTAATAATTTTTTACTGATGCAATATAACGCAATACCTCACACCATCCATATAGTGTAAGAGTACTTACATGAGGTGGGTGTTGAAACTTTAGACTGGCCTGCAAATAGTCCGGATCTCAACCCCATTAAGCATTTTTGGGATAATATGGGTAGACGACTAATAAATCATGATCCCTTGCCTGCCTCCCTTGATGACGTAGCAAATATGCTACTAGAAATATGGAATGTCATTGATCAGGGTGGTTTCAAATATGAGCCGTCGATGTGAAGCCGTAGTTAGAAGTAGAGCCAGAAATACGCGATACTGATATTCTTTAATGTTAGTCTTATTGATTTTGTTCATATTTTTATTGTTATTGTTACAATCGTTCTTTTTACATTTTTTATTAAACTGAAGTTCTTTATTATTTAACTGTATATTTCTTTTAAAAATAAATAAAACGCGATGAATTAAAAAACAAAATGTTAAGAGAAGATGGGGCTGTAGTTTGATTATAAGAGACAAGCTGGAAAACACTTATTATTACTCTTGCACCCTGTATATACTAAAATCGTAAATTTAAAAAAATATTTTAATAAAGCATCATAACCAAAGAATAAACCTACAATTTAAAACAAAAACTACCAAATTCGGTTTGACGGTTCGCGAGAAAATCAACTTTAAAATTGTGGCAAATTTTTAGTGGTGCGTTAAATTTGACGCGAAGTATATATATATATATATCATTGACAAGCTATTGTTAAAGGTATATTTTTGTTTTATTTAAAATACAATTTACTCTCTAATAAAATATTAAACCTTTTCAAAACGCTTTTTTAGGATACCTGTCAAAAGATATTTCTTTAAGGGAAAAAAACTTTATAGAGGCATCTCACGTATATTTTTTCGAGCATTAATAATTTTGTTTTGTTGTGTGGGCCATAATTTTTGGGACCCTTTAATAAAACGTTGAATATAAGGCAAGAGCCCTTCCACATTTTCGTTTTATGTGTTTTTATGATATAGAATTTAAACCTTTCAACAGCTTGTCCGCAAAATATTGCAGAAAGGCCTAATATAGGAGACATAAAGTACATACATTTTCAAAAATGTTACATATTTCTCTGTAATTTAACGATAAAAAACTTGATATAGATAAAACGAGAAAATTAAAGGGGATCATAAAAAATATCATTCAAGACAAAATTAAAAGCAAGTTTAATATACAATATACAATAGGCTGATGCGAAAATAAAAGTTTTTTGAATTTTATTCGAGAGAACTCGTATTATCAAAGACTATGAAATAAAAATATTCAGGCGAAATCGATTAATATTTAGAGGTCGCTCAATGCAATTGTTTATTTTTTATAAAAATCACGCACACAAATGCATTGCTATAAACAAATAGGAGTATTTGAATATTTCAATAAAAATGGCTGAAATTATTTTTTCTGCATCCTTAAAGATTTTTTTTATTAATTTTGATTCGATTGGAAAAAGTTATTTATGATATTTAATAACAAATTAGTAGTTTTATGGCTTAGATAAGAAATAGTGTTTGCACTATTTTTTTCTCTTATAATTTATAAAAACATTGGTAAAGTCTACAAAGAATTATCTATTCGCTAAATTGTGTGTGTTAATAGTCCATTATTTTACGAGAGATAATTATCTCTATTATTATTATAATGCACGCTATTATCAGAGATATAGTATGTATACATATATGTATACATATATGTATGTCTCTGGCTATTATTCACGAGGACGAGGTTTGCGTCTCGAGTCGCCAGACGAGAGACTTAAATCAGCCGAGTGAATAATGCGCATAATCTCGAGTGTAATACTATCCTTTATATACTCCTATAAGTATATAATTAAATGATTTTCAAAAATAATTAAATAAAATCTGACTTCTTTCAAATGCTTAACCTCACTTTAGAGAAGTTTATAAAACGAGTTGCATACTATACTTTATCTAAGAAGACCAGAAATTAAAATTTAAAGCCAATTTTAATTCATAAATATTTGACATTTGACAAATATAACCTCACTTTTTCGCAATTTATACTAAACCTAACTTCAGCCCGTGACTAAAATGCCAAAAAGTCACAGCTTGTCAATGTAGGAGTAGGTAAATACAATTTATTGTAACCTTTGTCCCATTATTTTCACCTTCGTTATTTAATTTTTAATATAAGAACATTTCTATTTTTTACAAAAATAAACAAACAATTTGTTGGTTTTTAAAGTAGTTTAAAACAAACTGCCAAGTTCCATTAAAAAAAGTATTTTAGCTTTTGTTTTGTCCCTTTTTCGTGAGAATAACCCAGAAGTGATATAGTAAGGACACTGTTAAAAAAATATGTACAAAAACGCAATCAACAAATTTTTTAAACTACATTATTTTTTATTAAAAAATTAATTTTGAATTCGCTCTATCTTCATAGATACATAAAGTACATACACAGGGGTCGTCCATAAAATACGTACATCACAACTTTTTTGGGGATATCAGATCCTTTTTTAATAATAATGTATTACGTTAAAATAAATAAACAATTATATACAGAGTGGAACAACAAAAACAAAAGTTTTTGAATAATTAAAAGTGATTTAAAAAAGCAAAGAATCGTCAATTTCAGCTTCGAGAGAGACATCTTTTGCAATAAATTTGTACATCGCTTTAACCTAAAACCCTAAAAAATTTGATTGGCATGATTGGCATGGCGAGTGACCTAGTTTAAAAGGTTTTGCTCCCTTCAACGCGCACAACACCTAAGGCTGTGACCGGGAATCGAACCCGCTACCTTCGGACGCAGTTTGTCTCGGCATAGTCGCCTAGGATATTTTATTGTTTTCTTTAAGTTTTTAAAATCTTAACAAACCATTTAAGCAGAAACAAGAAATTACCATCACATTTGTTAAAAAAGCCTTATGCAGCCTAGAAACTTTTTTATTACCTACTTCAAAATAAAAGTTTAAAACATTTTTCAGTCTTTGATAATATGCGGAAACTGTCTATTAAACCTAACATTTATTATTTTAAAGAGAGTTGTATTATCCTTAGAAATTGGGTGGCTCGTCCTTTTATATGCGAGGCCGATTAAGTCAGGCTTAATTATAAATAATTATGTCAAGGTAAATACGTTGAAAATTCACTGGTTAGTGGCCCCAC